TATATATGTATTGCTATGTGCTTTGAACAAATAGTGCGAAGGTGGTTCTGTTCAGTATTTCTAGTGCACTTGTGTTTTGACCACAACCCGTCGCCTGAGGTCAGGAGTGGACCACTGCACACGGGGTGTGCCACTGCTGCTCAGGTGCTAGAAAAAGAAGGGAAAGCCAAAGCAAGGTAAAAGAAGAAACGGAACAATGAAGTGAATTTTAAAATGTCACACACTATGGGCTGGCCAAATAGCTCAGTGGATTAAAGCACCTGCAAGCAGGCACAGGGGCAGGGGATTCGATCCCTGGGCCTGGTGTGCCGGCCCTGCCCCCAGGGTGCACTCAAATAGCAATTTAGAATGTCACACGCTACGTGGATTCCGGTTGAAGTAGTGAAGCCAGGCAGTGCAGGCCAGCAACTAAAATGACATGGGAAATGGGGACAAGGGCAGAAGACTATTAATGTATAATTGAAAAATTCATGGTTTTTAAAAATGAGAATTAATGACTTTATAGCTCATACAGTTTTTTTTTTTTTTTAATTCATAGGTCATTGTGCTCTTACATACTCAAGTTTTAATTTTATATTTGGATTTCTGTCCAATGGAATAGTTTTACTCCACTGACAATAAAATTAGATTTCATGTTAATTTTTGTACCTTTTCTTTTACTTAACTGCGGGGGTCTTTTGTTCCTCCTGCCACCGCTGTTTGGGGCAGAGAGTCTGTCCGTGTCTGCCGGCTCCTGCCGGCTCCTGTGCTCTGGCAAGCAGGATGCTGACTGTTTGGGAGCCTCCGTCCCCCTCGGATGTTGGCCAGGCCCCCATTTCTTGGTGTCTGGGAGATGAGCTTTTTGTCTTTGTCTTAGAACAGTGATGCAGGGAAAGAAATGTATCCTACTCATCTAAGAGGAGTGTTCTTTCAGTAGTACTGGGTATGTGGCTGATACCGAAAATACTTGAAAATTGTTATTCTTCTTTCCCTAAAACTTGTTTGTAAAAACAAGCGCTGAGGGCTGGCTAGATGGCTCAGTGGTCTAAAGCATCTACTTGGAACAAGCTTGGCAAAGCACAGGGACCGTGGTTCGATCCCCCAGCACCACATGCCAGCCAGCCCCACCCCCTGGTGGGCTGAGCTGGCCACACACACACACGCACACACACACACACACACAATAAATAAATAAATAAATAAATGTTTTTTTAAAAAAAAAAACCAAGCGCTGAGTGCTATTTTAAAAAGCCCCAAGACCTGCTTCCTGGGTTGGCCCTTGAAGCCTGGTATGTGGGCTGTGAAGTGGGTCAGGGTCACAGGAGCCTCCTGGATGCTGCAGTGGTGCTTGCGCCCCTTCCCCTTCAGTGCCAGAGAGGCTCAGGGTAACCGGACAGACGACACGCAGAGGGACACAGGACTGCACATCGTGTGCGCTGTAACACTGCAGATTCTTTCTGGCACAGTACTTCACATTAGTGGCAGTGTCACCTTGGCCAGCGATGACTTCTTGGAAAGCAGCAAGAGAAAGTTCATAGGCTATAAAGTCAAGGCATTAATGTGTCAGTTTAATGATGTTTTATTTCAGGGATCTTTGCATTTTTCTAATTTCCTCATTTATGTTTAGTGGGAAGGTACATTTTGCTCTGCTTTATTATTTCCAGGCATGATGGTAATGACAGCCTGTGTTTTAATTGTTCCTAATTGTTGTTAAGTAGTAGTCTTTTCACCATATGGAAAATGAAAATGTAATAATACTGTAAGCCTCACAGTTATTAGAAGTTCCTAACAAGGGACCTGCAGCGACAAATTAAAAGGCAAATGGCTGAGCAATGTTATTAAAAACAAAAACCATAAGAATAAAAATAGGTGGCACCAGTCATCTGTTTACTTCCAATCATTTTTTAGCAGAGCATCCTTCTAGGTGCCGACGGTCTGAAGCGATAACCCTGCACTTTCAGCTCAGGGTGTGTCCGCTGCGAGGCCAGTGGATGTTCGCCTTAGATGCTCCCTCTCACTCTTGGTATTGCCTCTACGTCTCACTTTCATAGATGAATAGGTTTAAGCAAGCAAATTGTCAGACGTTTTCAAGGTTTCTAACTTTCTGTGGAAATCCATTTTATAGTTTATAATTCGCTTACATAAGTCCTATTTTGAGAAAAAAAAGTGCAAACATGGTGGATTGTTAAAAATACAGACTCATTTCTCACCGTGATTCTGGTGAGAAATCAGACTTCGCTGTCAGGTAGGTATTGAACTATTGAGTTTGACTCAGTTCCTGTCCAACTCTGTATGTGACCAGAAGGTCTGAGAGAATCAAGTTTGTGAACTGAATGGACCACTGTATGGTTTTTGTTTTCATTTTTAAAAAACTTTTGACACAGAGTCTTGCTATGCAGTTCAGACTAGCAGTGATCCTCTTGTCCCAGCCTCCCTAGCCTCCCCAGTGCTGGGATTACAGGCGTGCGCCACCACTCCCAATTTTGGTGACTGGCACAGCGTGCCCAGGGTTCCGGGGGCCGTTCGGACCTTGAGCTTGCCACGCAGCTGCTTAGACCATTGAGCTATCTCCCAGCCCATACCACTGTATCTTTGAGTTTTATCAGCTTCTTTCCTTTAAGTTTCAATTTTTGTAGTTTTCTCTCTCAGTCTGTCCCCCTCAAGATAAGAATTTTCTAAGTGAATAACATCTGCACTCCTTGGGGATATTTAAACTTCTGAACTGTTTGGTTAAAAATTCATGAATGAGAAGGATTGAGGTGGCAAGCTGACAAGTGATAAAAAATCTTTAATCTGTAATCTCTAACCCCAGAGGCAACTAAACACTTATCTTTATCATCTACTGAGTCATAGGGGGAAATTGGTTCAATTTTTCTAACTTAATTTTAAAAAAAATAAATAAAAAGGGTGGAGGATAAGAGGAAAAAAGAATTGAAATGTTATATACATGGACAAACTTATAACATCTGTAATCATTATGTACAGTGAACATGTAGTAATAAAACTTTAACAGAATTTTAAAAAGAAATTATTCCAGTTACCCAGAAGTTAATTTTTCAACTAAAGATACCAGCTGATAAATCCCAGGAGCAGACAATGTCCCCATCTCACCTGTCCTGTGGGGTCAAGGCACTGACAGGATGTGTGTATCAGAGCTCTGGTTTTGAGTCCAGGAATTGACTGATCTATTTAGAATTTTATTCTCTCCCAATGTGTTCTTGAGAGATCCATGTGCTTCATTTCCAGATAGAAAACTATCTGCTGCGGAATCACGAGACTAGAAAATACCTTCAGGAGCAGGCCTACCGCCTCCAGCAGGGCATTGTCACCAGCACGACCCAGCAGGTAAGGGGCACAGGTGGGCTGCTTTCTCCCGACTTCCCCGACCTCACACATCCTCGGGCAAGAGCTGTGCTGCCCGCCCGCGTGCCAGCCCTCTGTGTGCCTTTAACTGCATCTTCAAGAATAAAGGGGGTCTGTTCTTCCATTGATCCCCAGGAAGCCAGTGAGAATTGGTGTTTGCGAATGGTAACCGACATTACTGGAGTGTGTAGGGAGAGGGAGGAGAGGAGGCCCACCCTGATGCCAAGTGTGCACTTGTCACCCCTAGTGTCTTTGCATGTTGCCAGGAAGGCACGCTTTGGGGCAACACAGAAACACGCGGGAATCCTGCATGTAGATCATGAAGACTGGGGTCAGTGGATTCGCACTCTGGGCAGAGCTCCCCGGTCCTCTGCACTCAGAGGTGAGGCGCAAATCTCCAGACTCTTGAGAACCGCGGTGTGTCGAGCGTTAATTCGCCCTCAGTGTGAAAGAGAAACCGGAGAGCTTTTGTCTCACCTCATTTCTCTTTCCTCTCACTGGAGGAAACAAAAACTAATAATAATGTTTTGTTTTGTGCATGGCACTGGGGATTGAATGGCTTTTGCACTGAGCCACATCCTTTTTTTTTTTTTTCCCCCAACAGGCTCTCAGTAAGCTGCTGACTTGCCAGAGCTGGGCTGCAACTTGCAATCTTTTTGCCTCAGCTATGACACCCAGTTCACAAAATTAACAAAAACCAAACATCATAGACATTTGAGGGAAATAAATAGTATGTCCAAGAAAAGGCAAGGTGAATGAAAGAACTGAGGTGTGGTAATTCACAAGACGGCAGAGGGCTGGAATTAGCTCAGCTCATGAGGACTTGAGAAAATATTACATCCATCTGATAAAAACAAGCTGCTATGAAAAGTCACCAGAAAATTAGCAATAATGCTTAGCAATTAAAATATCACTGCGGTACAGCATTAAACAGCTTCGACACGAGCTAAGCTGTTCCAAAAGTGAAAAAAATCTTTATAGCATGTAGTGAAAAGTAAAACTGTACAAGAGCAACGCAAGGTAGATTCCAAAGAGAATCAAAGTCACCAGTGCTCTTCCAATAGGAGAGATATAGGGGAAGTATCATTCTCAACCTGTTAAATATCAGACGTGCCAAGTTTGTAGTTCCTCACTGATGAATAAAGTCATGAGCCAAAGGAGGTTCGAAGAGATTTATTGGAAGTAGGGAAAGAAAAATAGCTCCTGGACTTCCAGGAGGGGTCTGGAATGGAGTGGACAAGGAGGGCCTAGGTGAGGGGTGATTTATGCAGCAACATCGCCATGTGGGTTAGACTGCTGTCAGCCTATAGGATTACAAGCACAGCTGCTTCACTGATATTGATCCAATAGGGATATGAGTCAGGGAGCAAGGGTACATGGGAAGAATGAAGGCACTTGGGGGAAGGCATGAGTCCAGATACTCGCCTGGGCACCTGATGTCTCTTTGGACTTTGGGGACCAGGTGGTACTAATGACAGTATAACTTCAATTACTGTTTGTCACTTGGGCATGTGGGTCTTGCCATGGTGTGTTCATCTGGAGGCCTGCCTTCTTCGAGTACACTTAATGCCACAATTCTGACGCCTTTGTGTCTTTGTATATACTTCCTAGAGTCCTAGTCCCTCTCTGACTGTATATTAATTTCTGCCTAACTTAGCTGCTTATCATATCAGGGGCTTCAGAGTTAAAAATGAGAGCCGTCATAGGGCAGAACGTAACACAACTGCATTTCTTAAGTCTTGGCATTAATTTGGTTGACTGAAGTTGGTCAAAGTGAATGGGCAGAAGATTGCCACCTAGATATAGTTTCTAAAAAGCTCAAAACTCATAGAAGAATGTAGGACTCCGAGAGATTAAACAAGTTATCTTCTGTTTGTTGTTTACCTCCCAGGGCTGGCAGTGGGACCAGGGCCGTGTGTGCACTAGTGCTCTACCACCAAGCTTCATTCTTACAACAGTAGAAGTATGTGGTAGCATCTTTCACACTTATTAGAAGTAAGCAATGTATTCTAATTTGAGAAAGAGTCAGTTAAGACTAAGAATTCTATACCCAACAGTTGTATCACTTAGACATGAAGACAACATAAAAGAGTTTTTAGACGTGGGCTCAGAACTTTTTGTCTTTTTGTGACAGGGTCTCACTCTGCATTTCAGGCTGGCCTTGAACTCATTTTGTGGCCCAGGCTGGCTCCTATTGCCTCAGCCTCCAGAGTACTGGGATGCCAGGCATGGGCCACCACACCCAGCCAATGAGCTCAGAATTTTTACCCCCACCTTTTCCCCCATGAAAAAAGTTGCTTTAGGATGTTCTTCAGTTTAACAAAGAAAAACAAGAAGATATGCAATAGTGGATGTAAGTAAGAAACTATAACAGAGATGGAATTTAAAATAGTTGAAAGAATGTTTTTTAAAAATGCTTTTTTAGGACAATCTACTTTGAGGTATGGGGTGAAGAGTTAGAGAATTATGTCTTTTCCCTTTAAGGCTCACAAATACGATTTTGTTACTGACCCTCAGAGTATTTACAATTTCTCTGTCAACTTAGACATGGAGGGGAAAGTTGATTACTGTTGCATTAGAGAATGTAGACATTGAAATCTTCATACTGGGCTGGGGAGATAGCTCAGTGGAATAAGCACTTGCCTGGCAAGTACAAGGAGGCATTCAATCCCCGGTTCTACCCCAAAAAAACCAAACAAACAAAAAAAAAAATGAAGATGGAAGCCAGTAGAAGAATGAAATAAAATGTTTATCTCTGAAAATTGAGAAAAAATAACTGCTAGTGAAATGCTCTCTCTTTATATTGAGAGAGAAAGGTACATAAAATAAAAACATGTTTAATATTCAGTGTAAGTCATCTTACGGGGACAGTGACCACACAGATAGGCCTAGAGCCTTGTAGAGGGGTACTCAACAGACCCAGTGGTGGTTACCCTAGGTCAGCGATGGCAAACTTTTTAGAGCTCCTCAGTGATATAAACGACCTGTGTGCTGTGGGCTGGCTGCCATCGTCCTAGGTGGTGGGATTTTTATTCTTGTCTCCTCAGTATTGCTTTAATGTCTTACTGTATTATCGAAATTAGATAAAGCAAAGTGGTATGTGTTAAGAATAGAATATCCATAATTATTAATGAAATTGCTGAAGTTTTAAGAAGGCAAGCAGTATTTTGACTTAACAGTTCATTAACAACTGTTTAGAATTTCCAGCAAGGGGCTAATTTTAACCTACTACTTCCTGGTTTCAGCATTTAACGTGAAAAACAATGAGTACTAAAATTGTGCTTTGAACCTTTGCTTTGAGTTCATTTTTCTTCTTCTTCTTTTTCTTTCTTTTTTTGGGGCCAGCTCAGCCCAACCTGGGGGCAGGGCTGTTGTGTGCCATGTGGTGCCATGGATCAAACTGCAGTCCCTGCGTTTGCCTAAGCTTGCCTCAGCAGGTGCATTGCCAGCCCTGTCTTCATTTTTTAGTTACCAAAATGCAGGCTTCTTTTCTTATGCCACCTCTCAAGTTTTTCTCATTCAGAGGGAATCTTGCCAATCCAAAGAAAAGTACCATAGCAGTGTTTAATGCTCTTTCCTAGAAGTCAGTCTCTTCTTCTCAATTGAAAAGAAATTGTAGCAGGAGAGGTGTGGGGGGTTGTTCAGCTCTGCCCAGGTGACCTCGTTCTGAATTGTTGGACACGTTAGTAGCTGTGTAGCCACCTTTTCACTCTGGGGAGCCGGTAGGATTTTATGATTAGCTATTTACAAGCTTTCATCGCTTCTGCAGCTTTAGGCGAGATTTGCCTTGTTATTACTGTGTCCAGTGCCTGTCGCTGGTCTCACAGGACACCCCCCAAAAAAAGAAAAAAAATTAAAATGTGTTTGATTAAAATATCAAAGTCCCATACCTATTCCTGCATTTGTTTTTATCTGCTTGCTTTGATTAGGAGAGGTTTTTATAAAACTCCATGTTCTCCCTCTGCCTTTTATCACTCACACCCCTTTCATCAGGACTAGGGAGCGGTATCTCGTGATAGCTGCTCACCTATGATTACACCACAGCAGAGCCAGAGTGCCCCAGGGGAGGGGTGAGTGTGGCTTTGCCCTCAAACTTTATCAGTTGCCTGTCTTGTCAGGTTCCTTCTCTTAGCCATCAGATCCCTTTAAAAAGAAAAAAAGAAAAAAAAAAAAAAAAAAAAAAAAAAAAAGCTGAGGGGCTATGGAAATAGCTCGGTGGTCTAAGCTCCTGCTTGGCAAGCACAAGGACCCAGGTTCGATCCTTGGTACCACATGCCATGCTGGCCACTAAAACTGGCACACACCTGTAATCCCAGCACTGGAGGCTGAGATAGGAGGATCACTGCGAGTCTTACCTGTGTAGCAAGACCCTGTATCAAATAAATAAAATAAATACATACATAAATAAATAAAATTTTAAGAAGCTGGGCTTGGTGGTGCACGCCTATAATCCCTGCATTCAAAGCTGAGGCAGAAGGATCTTCACAAGTTTAAGGTTATCTTGAGCTATATAGTGAGTTTTAGACCAGCTTGAACTACATAGTGACACCCAAAAGAGCTACGTCTTTCCCCCAGAGGAGCTATTTAGTCAACGTGTTCTTTCATGAGTGGATTTTAATACCTGAGATCAGGATGTCTTTGCCGCCCCTCACCTTGTAAGACCTGGCCTCTGTCTCCACGAGTCTTCTCAGATGTCTCAATGATCTCTTTGGCACCAACTCTGGTTGCCCCTCTTCTTCCTTCATTAGTAGAGTTGAGAACACGGACTCTCAGTTCAGATGACTTGCCTTTCAATCTGGGCTCGTTCTTCCCTGTCTGTGGGAATTGAAGTTAGATATTTTCTAAGCTCTGTAAGCCTCACTTTCTTCCTCTATTCTGAGTGAAGAGAGTACCTGCCTCAGAAGGAGCTGTAAGGATGCCTGAGGCTGCTTGTGAAGGCTTTATCTCCACATCCAGGAAGGCCATTGTTCGTTACTATTTGT